CATTCAATGCGAATTTAATCCGACGAGTTATCGATTAGTGATAAGGCATCACGTGCCCGATCGAATGTTATGCGCAGTACGACCACGGTTAGAGAAGCTTCAAACTCCTCCAAAATGATGTACTTCTACCTATGACATTTCATCAGTAATGCACTGTGCATCGAAGACAACAAAGTAGATGTATTCTTTACTATCTTAAGGACGGCCCAATGTCGAAGATTTGCATGGCGGCCATTAATGACAACGACAAAACGTTMAATGCAAGAAGACTGCAAGAACGGTTCCCTGAAATTCCGGAAGCAGTTATCGCTCAAATACTCAGTCAAGTAAGTGAAAACGTTCGCTTAATTTTGCACTGTCTTTTCCGTTATCAAATGTACAGATATTTGACTAGATAATATCATGGGCTCTTGTCGTGTTTTTATTTGCAAGAGTTGCAAAATTTGCTTCAAATGTCAAGGATTTGCAAAGTTGTTGTGTTCGTGAGATCGGCCCATTGTGGATGACATAAATTATAGACGAATTTCTGCTGAGCTAAGGCAGTTTAATTCATTCATTGGAGAACAGATACTATGAACATTACGAATGTGAACAGCAAAAAGTAGATTTGCTTGTTTGCATTAAGTTTAAACTAAAGTTGGGCAGGACTGTACTATGTACTTCTTTCGTTTTGGTCAAGATTAGGACAACAGCGACTGCTATCTCTAGTGGGTGTTTTGGTCTAGTAACACGACGTAATCTCGGCAGCCTAAAAACAGAAAGCAGTATTTATTGGTGTTTACTATGAGGTACTTTTGAACAACACGAAGCCTCATTCCATATTTGAACTGCTTACACCAAACTCTTATCGTTTATGAAAAGTTTATTAATTGAATCAACAATCTTGTCGAAAACTTGTRCTTGTAATTAACAAAAAAGCTTATGTGATTGAAGCCTAAACAATTGTTGAATTATATATTATTGCTTGACAATTTTTACKAAAATGTTTTAAATATTTTGTGCTCAAGCAATCAAGGTTGTTTTAAAATGTCATGAGATTAATATCGAGCGATAGATCGCACAAACCATACTTAATAGTTTTTTGTTGACACTTGACATCTCTCCATCCTTCATGGAGCAAATCATTCAAAGCATAAAACTAGTGAATCCTCCATAAAGACAGTTTCTTTGAGACAACTTAATTCTGATATAAGCATTTTGTGCCTAGCCTGCTTACAAAGGAGGTATCTATTGAAAATACTGGTATCTTAATGAACCCTAACTATCCTCAAAAAGGTATAGGGATAACGTTTATTGTGTAATTATCTTTGGTTTATGATTGATTGTTATTCTGGTAAACACCTGCATCTTGTCACACTTTATCTTTGTTAAAGTCTGTTTTTTTTAAGATTCAAAAGTCTTCCACTGTAGAGGCAATATGAACATGCAATATATATATTATATTATCATAAAAGTTTTGATATATAACTCRCACTCTGATTCGCTGACGACYGTGTTTATATCAGAGGACAGAGACACGGCTTACYGGCAAAATTTTCTTTTYGCTCGAAAAATTTTATAAAAGAAATATAWAACGGCCGCTTGTGTCTCTGTCCTCTGATATAAACACGKTGGGAGTTGAAAAACACTCGAGAAGCAAGAGAAACACTCGCTACGCTCGTKTTCCTAAGCTTGCTTCTCTTGTGTTTTTCGAACTCCCACCGTGTTTATRTCAGAGGACAGAGACACACGCRCCGTTTTATATTTCTTAAACATTATTTTCATTGCATTCACTTGTACAAGCAATTCATTATAATATGTTTAGAACCCATTCTTCCCAGTTACTGCCATACTACCTTCTCTGAAATACAAAATCATGGTGCATTACAAACAACACTATATTTGGCTTAATGACCACAATGCAATGTGTGATGTTATTTCAGTACAATGATTGATGATGCTATTTCTGTACCCTGGGCTAATAGGCATAAAGGCCTCAGTGTGATAACGACCCCCCATATAAGAACAATTGGATTAAGAGTATCCAGACTGATTTTTTTATGGGTCATACATTTTCTACAAAACATGTGACTAAATACATTGTACTGTATTCTAACACTGACATTTTTTATCTATACATACTAGATATACACAAATTAACCTTTGCTACGCATCGAGGGTGTTAGTATTCAGAAAACAACATTAAGAACTGAAGAGGCCAGGAAGGCGAAACATTTTCTTCTAAATACTAACCCCTCTCGATGCATAGCAAAGGTTAATTTGTTTATATCTAGTACCTATAAGTCAAAAATGTTGGTTTCAAACTTTGCGTTTGAAACAAGAATGAAAGATCTGGCTAAGTTATATTCTTACACTTTACAGTTCAAAAAAAATGAGTCTGGCATGGTATGAAAATTGCAGCACACATTGAGAGCATGTGTGTTTGTACAATTAACCTTTAAGAACACTTAAAAAGCACTCTTAGGCTGATTTTCCATTATAAGCACCCATTAAACAAGAGCACAATCAGCTTGAAACCCAAAAATTCTTATAGTTCTTATATGCGGGATGTTATTAAGGATGCCCAGGCTGCCCTAACGATGATGATGAGATGCTTTCAAAATTATCTCAGACKTCCGCATAATTAGTAGACAAAACTTTAGCACTTTGATAGAAACCCTTCTACACTGATCTGTTGGAAGTTACTTAACATTTGTCTATTTATTTACAGCATGCCCATAATATGGAGAAATGTTTAATGATGTTAAGTCAAGAAAGTGAAAAGTATTTATATGGTGAGAACTCTGATGGTCCAGACTCTTCTCCTCCTGTCATGACACCATTATCAATAAACATCCCTTCACCAGATAGACCAGTAACTATAGGTGCACCTACACCAGGCAGTATCACYAATGAAGTGAGAAGAGATAAACACACTCCTGTAGATGACTATAAAACACGTAAGTATTAAAGGACCAGTGTGCACCATTATGCTTTGGGGCCCTCGGGTGGCCATTTTCAGTTTACCAAAAGTCTAGAAATTGTACTGTGCATTTCGAATCTTTGACCATCTCACTTTTCTAAGCACTTTAAACGATAATATTAGAGTTTTCAACCATCTTACTTCGTTTTATGGTTATATTTGGATACAAAAAGTATTTTGGTGTAAATCATAACAATAACAGAGGCGCGCAAAGCATACTGGTGCAAACTAGGCCTTTAAAGATTCTTGTGATTTATTGAATTATTTTCATGTTAAAAGAATCAAAATGTTAGAGATGTTCATTCTGCAAATTAACCCTCATATCTTTGAACACCATGTTTCTTCACGATTTCTCCATAATTTTCATAAATAGATTGATCACCGAAAAGCACTATCTACAGCTATTTAAAAACCTGTCTTCACCATGACACAGTCCACAGTCTTGAGCCTGCAAAGAATCTTGGGGTTTCATGCATAATTGATATATTCAAAATACATTTGCCTATTTGGTTTGATGGTGGTAAACACACTTACACACAAACTATTGCAGTTGTTAAATCCATCGAACAAGTCTTATCATTAGATATTTTCCTTGAAAAATTTTACACATTTTCGAACCCAGCTGTAAAACTTTATTCGCTACGATACTGAGAATTGATAACAACTGAAAGTGAATATGTGTTTATGTATGACAATCCTGAGATTCTTTGCATGCTCAACACTATGGACTGGCCAATCCCTATCAAACAAAGTGTGATAAAGAACAYACTTTTAATTCACTTCTTTTTGTCTTTAGAACTTCTAAACCATCAGCAGCAGAGATTAGACAGACTTCTCAAAGAATTGCACACAGAAGAGCAAAAGCTATTTGATCTTAAATTAGTTGTTGGGAATAAAAATGAGGAATTAGTTAATAAGAAATTCAGAGTGGCTGGAAATCCCTCGGTATGTCRTCTTCACATCAGTGGTCGTAGACATAGTCCTTGCATCATCTTGAAATGTAGCCAGCCATGCATTTGCATCAAAATGTGACATAAAACCCTTTGTTTACATTCATGAACTAGTTATTATTCACAGGTTTGTATCATTGTAAGCTATGCAAAGGCATGTTTACATTTCAAGATGGCGCAGAGAGCTGTGTGGAAGACTATTCTATTATTGCTAAATTCTTTAAACATTTGRGAATGCTATCATAATTAAAGCCAGTTGCATTCAACATTCAAACAGTAATTTGCTTTGATTCCTTGGTTATCCTGCTATTACAGTTTTTGATGATTTCTCTTCTCAATGACATTGACTCCTGGGGATTTTTATTTTGATACGATGTTTTGTTGATGTTTTATTGCAGAAATCAGATGTTGACCATTTAGAAGAAGAAACACAAGTATTAAGAGAAGAAATTGATGAAATGACTCATGAAATTGATAGAATAAAAAGCTGTAAGTAGCTCTCAGAATACTTATTATTAACAAATATTAGCATTAAACACCCATTCATAATTCGCAGTCAAAGACATCCATTAATAATCCATACCCAGAGACATCCATTGATAATCCATACCCAGAGACACCCATTAATAATCCATACCCAGAGACATCCATTGATAATCCATACCCAGAGACACCCATTGATAATTCATACCCAGAGACACCCATTGATAATTCATACCCAGAGACACCCATTGATAATTCACAGTCAAAGACACCCATTAATAATTCATACCCAGAGACACCCATTAATAATCCATACCCAGAGACACCCATTGATAATCCATACCCAGAGACACCCATTGATAATCCATACCCAGAGACACCCATTGATAATTCATACCCAGAGACACCCATTGATAA